GAGAAGTTCGTTTTCACTTCGTTATTATGATCATGAAGAATTAATGTTAAGTAGCTTTCATGTATATAATCTCTCTTGAAAATTATTTTTCTCTGGTACATACACACACACACAGACATCACATTCCAATTCTCCAAATTAATTAAAACCACCGTTGTTTTTGTTTGTCTCCTAAGAGAGAGAATAATATTAATTTTTAAGACTTTTAACTCCATACCAAGAGCCTTTCATGGTCAAAAGAGTCTAATAAGATAATTAGATAGTTCATTTTCCTCCCTCAAACACGACAAACATATCCATTTCTTTTTTGAGCCTTCAACATGCATATATATATATATATATATATATATGTATAATTGATGTGAAAATTTAAGAGTCATTAATAAATGAACTATATCTCGATAATCATGTTCATAAGAGATCAAAGTAGGTTAAGAAATTTTTAGAGTTATAGAAAAAATTATATTTCTCGTAATTTGAGTACTTATAAAACCTGACAATAGACAATCTTTAAGGAATTAGATGAGATTTTCGATGATCATTATAATTATATTGAAAGTTTTATACAATTTTAATATTTTAATTGTTCAAAATAATTTAACAATTTTCTTACATTAATGTAAAAAAGTACAAAGTTAATTTGATTCAGGTACTAATAGTACATTATGTACAATAAATTGTATTGAATTAGTTAGTGAATTGTAAATCCATTTACTCATTGCCAAACATTTGCTGAAGTCAGGAAGAGGAATCCTTTGATGTGATTTGAAGTGTAAAGGCATTAAGCGTACATGTAGTAGCCTTACGATGGTTATTAATGCTTCACTAGGCATTTCTTTTTGGAACAGGCAAAACGATCTCAACACCAGTCATTTCATAAAAGTTGTGATGTCGAGGGAAAATAATGAAACAAGGATAGAACATGCTCTGCTAGACATGTGGTGTTTGTTTTTTTTTTTTTATAGGTACATCAACTATATGACAAGTCTTTTTGAAATAAGTATCACGTTGAGAGGCAATGTCAAGATTATATTATTCTTTAATTAGATCTTTTAATACTATCAAAAATCAATCAGTATTTATTATTTAAGAATATATGAAGAATTGTTTCTCCATTATTTATTAGAGAGATTCTCAGAGTATTTGATAAATAGATAATTTTGATATTTCTTGATTGTATCAAGTTGAGGTTGTTTATATGCATTGATTTTTTTATAGTGAATTTGATACAAAGTTTGACCAAGAGTTTTTTTTTTCTTTATATTAGAGTGTTTTTTCACATAAAATATTATATTTTTATGTTTTATTTTCCATCTATTTATTTAATGCAGTGTGATTGAATTTTTATAAGATCGAATTTAATTAAATTTATACAATTAATATTATTTAAAGTACAAAATATTCATTAGAAATTTAAGGTCAATATAGACTGTGGTGATAGAATAAAGTTTTAAAAAAATGGTGGGATTGTTATTTTTTTATCATAAAGAATATGTATAATCAATTGTTTCTCTTGAAAATTTGTTAAAATGAAGTAATTTATCAATTTAATTTCTAAGAAGACAACTATTAGATTTGAGATATGAGTCTCATGAATATGATATCTCATTAAAAATTAAAACACTCTCACATTTTCTTAAGATATACAATAAAGAAACAAATGATCAATTCAATTCATACTCAATCTACGCATAGGGCACATAAGTCCCACGTCTATACACAAAATCTAGCACAAGTAACCTACGTTTTAGAAGCTGAAGTTGTTTCAATAAGTCCACTTTACCATGTTTATAATAATGTATAATTTTAATATTTTGTTAAAACTAAAATATTTGATTAGAAAGTGATTGATTATAATTAAAATATATTAAGACTAACTTTAATTAAATTTTTTTATTAAGAGTCTAATAATAAATTATATTAAAATGTAAAATATCGAAATAAAGTTGGTATTAAAGATAAAACTGTGTGGTTAATCAAAAATTATGATACGTAAATAGCAAGAAATAAAAATCTAATTAATTATCTGTTATAAACAAAAATAATTAACAAAACAATAACAACCGTGATCACGACAGTCAGCACAATCGCTTGAAGCTTCCTTTCCAACAAATCTTAACTAGTTGGTAAATCTCTTAATTCTACTACTAATTAAATTAAATTAAATAAATATATAATTATTTTTTAATTTAATTATTAATATTTTCATTTATATATATATATATATATATTATTATAGGCTTGAATTCAACTATACATAAATTAATTCTAGCGTTAGTAATGTGAAATATGCTAAGATAACTAATATAATTACACACCTCTAATGAGATCACTAGAACAAAGATCATTTAATTTCAATTTCAATTTCCAATTTCCAATTAGATACGATAAACTATATGCATGATTGTATAGGAAGAAACAGAGAGATGAGCTGCTCAATTGCCAGGTGAATAATGACAATATGTTACTGTAATTCTCCACTAAAATACCTTAATAGTTCATTAATCATACGCACTACCCGAAATGATGGGATATATATACATACATATATATTTTAAGAGAAAATTAGACCTCATTTGTACC